TGAATTATAAAAAAGATTTTTTTTGCTTCCGTGGTTAACGCTGTTGTAATGTTTAAGACGAAAGCAAAGCTTCAAAGTAATACATTTTTAATAATGTTTACAATATGCATAGATACATAAAGATTAATTGCCTCTATGGCCGAACGGTTACCAAAATGGACTGACACGCAAAGATCCAGGGTTCCATTCTTAGGCTGGAAGAAATATTTGTAAGGACTACATTTATTTCTCTCGTGAGTTTGGGTGTGATTGGTGCTTTTCAATGTATATCCGTGGCACTCGTGATGCTGGGTTTCTCTAGTGCGAGGTTATGAGTGTTGCGTACATTTATTTTGTTATGATATTAAGTGACGGGACAGCTACACGTCTATTCAAAACAGTGCCAGTGCCAGTCAGAGCTTTAAATCGCAAAGATCTGAGGGACACTGCCACTGCGCCCGTCACCCTGAGACATAAGTTGATACGTCTCTTGTACCTGTAATTTCACCAGCACCCTTATCCTTCAAAACCGGAACGCAGTAATGCTGTCATTACTGCTTGGCGGCAGAAATAGGTAAGGTGGCAGTACTACCCTGAATGAACCCTTTCACAAGGATCCCTACTGCTAATGAAACGTACATTCATATTGCATACGTGTATACGATGGCATACTATGATTTTATCATGACTTATATTTAGTTAAAAATGAAAACATATTCGACCACAGACGTGCAACACTCGAAATGACGTCATAATGGAAATTTGCACTTCATACGCAAAAAAATGCAAAACAGTGCGCGTCAGGTTTTCAACCGAAACCATAAACTGCTGTGCATTGTCCACATTGGTTTTGTAAGTATATTAAATTACGGGTAATAAAAACTGTACAATGGGTGGCAAAAAAGGTATTCATTGGTACACTGCTGTCGAAGGATGCACGCTTGCTTGAACTGTCCAGTGATTTTATGCCACATTAAACTATAGATTTGTGTAAAGCCCAGAATCCGAAGGTAAGGGTTGAATGGTGTCAATATAGCCGTAAAAATGAAACGAACATTAAATGCGTGGTTAATTTTGTATGTAGTTGAGAGATGAAACATATTTAAAATTGTTTAGGATGTGTTAAGTTTGATGAATTCATTCATTCATTCATTAGAGAAATTGACGAATTGGAAACATCATTTTGTAATCTGTTCGATAAAAATTTATATGAAAATATTCTGATGTTTCTGATTCCAAATGTAAAAGTTAAATTTTAATATAAGTATACTTCTTAAGAAGCTCATAATACAGTACTTAAGCATTATAGTCTACGGTTTCCTTTGAGATTATCGAATATCGGAAACGACTTCAATGTTATATTTATCGAATCTTGCATTTAGCATTTTCAATCGAGAGTAATTGCGTACAAAGTTTGTCGAATAAAATGTCTTTCAAAATAAAAAAAAACTTTCTTTAAACCAAACTTCAATAGGTAAAATTTCGTAGAAGTCTTTAGATTGCACAAGTTTTTAAATTAGATCGAATTATACATCCAAGGAGGATTCTTCTCAACTTCCGCTTCACAATTCTAGGGTAGCAATAAATTATTCAAGTAGAACAGAAGTACTTGATTCGAGAATTTAGCTTCACCGTAATTATACAACTGGGAATAGAGTTTATGAGGAAAAATATCAAGGGACAGCAAAGTTCTATTCTGTTATGTCGTAAAATAAAACTTCAATTTTCTAAATGTCATCGTGAAAGAATATGGTATTTACTAGACGAGTCATTGCAGGAGAAGCAGGCAAAATCGCTTTGCTCTGCTATGGTTTAGGTATTTAATATTAAATCACGTCTTATAAAAAAATATACGATACACCTAAGGTATTTAATATTAAATCACGTCTTATAAAAAAATATACGATACACCTAAGGATATTGTCTAAAGAATGTGCGAATTAGTTACACGGTAGATTTTAGTTAACCCGATCATATAAAATCCTGAAAACAGGCTAAATGAAAATCTAAAACGAATTATTTAAAAATAAAATATTTAACTCTGCACATAATTTTTATATGGAGGTGTCTTCTAGTATATCTACATAGAACCTGCTAAAGTTTGGTTTTCAACTGAAGCCCTATAGTTATTAAATTAACATTTATCCCAAAACTTGAAAATTGTCCAGCTGTTTAACGACACACCGCGCCGCCCGTTGTCCCGTCAGTCGCCATCGGGCGCTTGTCAACGTCGGATCTGTGTCAAATTTTCTTTGCCTATTCTTATTTTATTTATATTAATTTTAAGCACGCGGATTGCTGGACGCGAGTGACGGTCCCCCACACCTCACCTCCTAAAATCTAGGCTCGCTTTCAAATACCTCGCCGTAATCCGTAGTCAACCATATTATTTTAGGTAAAAATATTACGGAAAAAATTCCATCGACTCTCATAACGATATTGATGCCATAAGCAATACAAAACCTGTCGATGTCTTTTGCTACTTATTTTTCCTTTTAAAACTAACTACCCACAATTACCGGCCGATGCAAGGTGATGCTCCAATGAACGAAACTTAATCATGTCGATAAAAACTGAATGACACGCTTTAATAGTGTTGCAAACAAAAGGCAGTAAACTTCATCGATATTTTCCTGTTTTAAAGGTCTTTCAACAATGCGTTATCGTGTAAACAACGGAAGGTACGCTTACAGAGTAACACGATGCTTGTATAAGCATAGTAAAATTATGTTCGTATTTAAATTAGTGCTTTTGATTTATTTAATCCGTGACATGTTTAAATTTATATCTACTTCTGCAAACTCGTTTTTCACATTGAGGTTTTTTTATTTACTGCGTCCGAAATACTCAAAACTGTTATTAAAATTGTTTTAATCTCAAGACAGTATTCGTTTTTAAACAATTTGTTTAAAAAATAAATTGCCTTTTGTTGTATTGAATTTAGTAAGCAATTGAATTTAAAAAATTCCTTAGGTTATATCGATAAAATCAATGTTAATTTTATCGTTTTACAAATAGGAACATCACTACATAACTCGCCTGCGGACGTCCTCACGCAAATTACACACTGCATCGCTCACTCTTACAGTTTGCACCTCTCACTCGTTTTGCAAATTTATATGAATCATTATTGGACTGAATTATAGTACCAGCCATCGCATCGTGCTCAAAGGTACCTGTACTTGGACCTCAGAAGAGTCCAGTGGATACCCTATCATTATTTAAATGGTAAATGGCTTCAGCTCTAGGTGATGTGTACTATTTGCATGATGATAGTAATATCGAGCCTTGATGATGACTTTAAGATTACGATAATTATGACGCCTTTCGTTAACTCTTACTGGAGCTTGTAAATGACGTATCTTTTGGAAATGTAATTTTAACAAGAATTTCTGAAATACGTTTCGCTATACCAAAAAAAAGAAACTTTATGACGAAAAGATTTTTTTTCCGTTTGGAGACCACCGTTTATTTCGGTGTACAATAATAAAATTTTGATACATGCCACAAGTAACAATATTTAATGTCATCTTCTTTCCTTCAAACAAGTAATGTTCTATTTGCCTTCTCCATGCTATTATCCTTCATATTCTGAGACGCGTCAATAACGCATCGAGGTGTTATCAAGTCTACTTTAACTTTGATCTAGCCATCGACACCCATACATTTTAACATAAAAGTATAGCTATATTTCATACTTAGACACACACATCGTTGACTAGTTCCTGAGCTAGAAAATTCAGTTCCTTTGTTGGTTTAGTTGGTACTTAGAGACTTGTACTAGTTGTAGTAGACTTGTACTAGTTGTACTAAACCAACGTTTAGTAGTACGAAGTGTGAGGTTTAAATTAAAATATCTGTTACGATTTTAGTTAAACTTTTTGTAGTAAAATAAAATTACGTTAAAAGTAAACATAAGAATGAGAAGAAAAGAGTGGCACGTCACAGGGTCGTATTCTAGAACTCTACTCAACGCTCAAGTCAGGTTTTGAGTATGGTTTAAAGCACTCGAAATCATACTCAAGTCCCTTCCATTAGGGTCGTATTTCCAGAGCTTGTGTTTCCATTGCAATCCTGACTTGAGCATTGAGTAGAGTTCTAGAATACGACCCTTAGTGTCAAAGGTCAAGATCCACTTCGGTTCGTTGAGCCTGCGAAGTAAGGTAAGTAAGTTAAAGTAAACATAGGTATTGAAAAATTACGTTTTTGTACCAGACGACTACATCAATTACTTGATCTCAAACTAGGAAATTCCCTTTACTATGAGTACCAGAGCAACGGACTCAAAACACTCGTGACCAGAACCTATCAATAAAAGTTCATTTCCAAAATTGGTCATTCCGAGAATCGAAACTCAGACCTCATCCAGTGCCCATAGTGGTTGGGCCACCGAGGTCGTCACCTGAAGAAGTTGAAGTTGTAAAAAGTTTAAATTACCCGTATTTTATATGTTGCAAAAGTTAATCTTTGCATTGATCGCATTTTTGTTGAATTTTTAGTCCATCACTGTAGGTGGAAGAATTTTGGTAATTTTCTGTAATATTCGATATTGATGTTTATTGTTTTATGAAGCCCACCTTACAACATGTAATTTTCTTTAGTGATTTTACATTAATTCATTTTCAAAGAAGCGTTCCCGTGTTCAGCAATTTTATTGCATCTTTAAGGCGAATTAGCAGCGTCTTTTATGAATAATTTATCCTCATGAATAATATAATATTTTGTTGTTACTGTTATACAATATTACGATCTTAGACGAAAAAGTTCAATGATAATAGTAGAGTATACTGTTTTTTTTTTAAATAATGTTTTGTTATTTTGCGGACAACGTTATGTCGCAAGACTCTAATAACAAAAAGACTATATTTCCACATTAATCTAGTCTGTTTTATAAGGTGGTGGAAGAATGGTGATACTCATATTCTCTTTGGTGACACTAGGACACGTTATGATGACATCTAAAAGTAACCACAAAATCGTATTTTTCTTACACAGTTTATGTTTTTTTCCTTTGCTACAAAATGTGGTACCCCAATAAGCTAAATCCCTTCAATTTTCTTATATTTGTTTCATTAATCCATTGGATTAGAGGGGAACTTGCGGACCTTAAGGAAGAAATTACAGGAGTGGGAAGTGAAAAGAATGATACGACTACTGTTACATTTGCTACTACCGATGAAGAAATCTTAGATAAAAAAATTAAATCACATGAACTTTCTGTGAAAGAAAGAAAACCTGAAGCTGAAAACAATTTGCCTAGAAGAACAAGAGACATTGAGCTCGTTTCGCTGTACAGTAATCATTTAGAAATAGGAACAACTTCTATGAGAGCAAAAGTTACTTTTTCACCGTCTCCAACATCGACACTAGATTGTTATTATTGTTCAGCTAGTAGTAGTTCTTCTATTGATGATCCTTGTTATGAAGGCGACCGGTGAGTAATATTATGAACAACATCAAAACGAAGAAATTTCTCAACTAAGAACGAATGTCTTTTTATTACGAAAATTTTTTAAGTGAGAATTTTTCCGATATAACTGCAACATATTTGTTTAAATTATTCTTAAGTAAAAAAAGAAAAACTATCTATTCACAGTTCCACAAACATTTCGAAAGAAAGATGTGTTGATGGAGCAGTATGTTATATTGAAATGAACCCCTTGTACATCAATCGGGGTTGTATATTAATTGAGAAAATGAACAAGACTTTTGTTTGCAAATGCCCTTTGTGCAATGATAAATCTGCATTTAATGCTTCTTATTTCACTTACAAAGATAACCTAGACTGGGAATTCGACAATTATAGATTGTCATCTAATTGTAGTGAATTTGACGAACTGTATTGCAAATCATGTGACATGGCAATAACAGGAGATGCGGCCGAAAACGACAAATGCTTAAAAGGGAAACAGTAAGTTTTTAGACCTTAAAATTTTTTTTTTCAAAACATGTTATTGTAATCTCACTAACAAAATAATAACATGAACCTTTTCAGAAATATAGTAACCACCAATTTTGTGATAATCATTTATCAGTTCACAGGGACATTTGATTTTAATCATCATTAATGTGTTGTAGGCTGAAATTTGACCTTTAACTATTTCAGGGTGACTAATGTTCATTGTAAGAGAAATGAGTTATGTTATACATTCCTGAACGGACACGACCACTCAGTAAGGAGAGGTTGCATTGGCAAACCAGTATTTAATTCATTTTATTATTTCTGCAAAGAAGATTCACTTTGTAATAATCGGCAAATAGATCACCCGTATGTTCAACAATATACTGGCAGTGTATTCTTACAAAAACTTTATCGAAACCTAGACCCGCTAGTTCCTCTAATATATTATAAATCTGGTGGAGGAATATACATTCACGCTACATGCATAGACAGCATTGTTATTGTATTGCTATCAATAGTTTTGATAAACCTTTGTTTCTTCTCTGGTTTGAAATAAAGGTGATCGAATGTTTTTAATTAGAAAAGAAGGAAATAAAATTGATATTTTGACTTCTTTGAGGGCAAATGCCGAATATTCTTTATATTATCCTGGATATTCTACAAAGACATGGGAAAATAAATAGTAGGTTCCAATAAGCAATCTTCTTATAAAATAAAGAAGTATATGTCAAAGTGACATTTTAGTTGTAGTTGTTTTAACAAGATGAGAATTTTATTTTTGTTGTTTATTTACGGGTTAAGTTTTACTTCTGCGAAATACAAAATCACACGAGATTGGGTCTCACAAAGTAAGCAACCTTTACCTTTACCTTTCTTTCGAAGAAATGTAGAAGAAATTTATGATGACAATTCTTTAGAAAGTAAACAAGATGATCAGCGTAGTAAATTGATTGCATTTTTAATTAAAAATGTCGAAGAAGTTTTTAAAGATACAGATATAAATCTACTTAATGAATTTGCTGAAAATCTTGAGCCAATAACAACTGAAAATCTGGTGGATAACGCCAGGCTATCTGCCACGACATTTAGCGAAGACTCTCAAAGAAAAACCATTTTTATCAATGAAAATCATGTTGTATTGTATGAAAATGGAACTATCCATTCTCTGCCGTTTTTGGTAACAGTACCAAGTAGAACTCCAATAAAAAAATTGAATAAAGTTACCAAAAGAGCTACGGTGGAAGTCTCGGACAATTTATCATTTATAGGAACACCAATAATGTTAATTGACGATAATATCCTCGGATTACATAACGTTACCCAATCCATTGTACACCTTAAAGAACTTCCAACACGTTATTATGTAATGGATGACCAAGTGCAAACATTGACACCAGAACTGAAGCGATCTTGCATACAATGTAATAATGTAGCGGTACCAGAATGTGCTTCTCCTAAAAATAAACTGCAAGTGCACAACTTTTGAATTTTAATTTTGAAAAAGTATTTATTTTTAGTATTAAAATAAAAAATTCGTAAACTCAATTTCATGTGATAACAGTTTAAAAAACAAAATAATTGTGTCGGTCGGCTTAAAGAGTATCAGGTTTTTGCTGATTTATATTTTCGTTTGCAGGATACCATCAATGGTGTGTGAGAATGATCGTGATAAATGTTATTCACTGCACACTCCCTTCGGCATCGTAGATCGTGGATGTTTTGATATCCAAAAAAATGTATCCGTGTACGTTTGTTCCTGCAATCACTGCAATTCAAAGTCTATTAATGATATGCCCGTTATGTTCGACACAAAACAAGATTGGATCAAAAATGTTATTGATTTGTCATATTTGAGACGATTGAAAAGGTCCATACTCAAAGAAATATCTTGTTTACACTGCGAAGTTCAGACGGCTCAGCATTCTGATAGAGAATCAGCTGACTGTGTAGATGGCAACGTGTACGTATTACCTCTTCTTTTAGACTTGATAAAAACTAAATACATATTTTTTTCATCAAAATCTGACTTGTATTTTTAGGGTCCAACAAAAATCAGCGTCACAGCCTTTTCTCGGCGGCGACATTAGCTGAATGGATTCTTTTACATACGCCACAGCCGCACACATAACATGTACACAATATTGTTGACTATTTAATGTTTTTGCTTTGTGTGCATTTCATTACCTATTAGTAAGATTTTATTTTTAATTAATTTTAATTATATATTTTTTTGTTATTCAATTTCATTAGCATTATTATTATTAGCTTTATCTTTTTTTTTAAATTTTTTTACTGTGTGTTTTTGTGTTGTGGCGTTTTGTAATAAATGGTTTCTATTATATTCTATTGCAAATAGAGTTACTTAGATCGTAGTAAAGATAGAGAATAAATTATATATTCGAAGTTGTATTTGTATATTATAATAAATCTGGCATGATATTGACTCTTTTTAGGTCCGCTGTATAAAGCTTAAATATTTACAAAAAATGCGTTTTGTCTCTGATAATAGGTACGGTACTTGTATGATATGTATCTGTATATATATGTAAGTGTAGTGGGCTGATATCCGCTGGTATTTGATAATAGGTAATTGAAATATTATAAGGCTAATTTAACATTACGTTTTAGAAACTCTGTACCTACAATCACATGCAATGAAAAAGAAATATGTGGAATAAAAGCGATCAGAAGCGTAGGCTACATTTGGAGAGGATGCATTGAGAGTCCATTATACAATTATTGGATCACTTATTGCGATTTTGATTTATGCAACTACGACGAATTGGTTTCTGTTTATGACACTGATTAATTTTTGAAGAGTTTTCTTGTATATGTCTTTTTATTTATTTAACGATAGAGAAAGATTTATGAAATAAATGAAGTGAAACATTTAATATTTTACTAAGTCATCGGGACTTGATAAAAGAGCTGCACGTCCCAGAGATTGTATACGTACGGATTATTTATAGAATTTCACAGTCGTGAAGTTTCTCCTTTGAATGATTTCATAAAGTGGAAAATCGAGCTATTCTGTAGCTTGAATAGTAATTAATTCTAAACCAGTGACTTCAGAATCTTTGACGAACTAATCGGTACCAATATTTTGTGTTAGTACTGCGCGTCGCCAGCAGATGATATTGTTTATTACTGAAATGCGTAGGTACTAATTTTATTATAATTTGTAAGAATACATTTTTAGTAGCAGTAGAACTCCTTGTGAAAGGCTTACTCCATGGAAGTGCTGCCACCTTACTTATTTCTGCCGCCAAGCAGTAATGTGAGCATTACCGCATTTCGCTTGTGAAGGTAAGGGTGCTGGTGAAATTACAGGCACATGGAACTTGTCAATTATGTCTTAGGATGAAAAGCGCAGGGGCAGTGCCCCTCAGATCTTTATGGTTTTGAGTGACACTAACTGCAACTGTTATGGTCAGGTGCGTAGCTTACCATCAGGCGTTCGACCTGTACGTCCCATTATTATAAAAAAGACGCTAATAATACTAACTTTTTTGTTTGGAGTACAATTCTTACTTTAATTACTAGTATTGTGCAATATATTTTGGTTCTCAGAACTAGATAGGTGAAAAGTAAATCTCTTTTGGGTATTATACCATGGTTTGGTCGAATTTTCATAACCTCGAAACTAGTTTTGAGAGGAAAAATTTTTTTTTAACCTTACTTAATCTAACCTCTTTCTCTTCTAAATTGTATCTTTGCGTAAACATCCAACATATCCTAAATGAACAATAGTTTCGCTATAATTCAGTTTTCGGTGTAATGAAAATCCGAACAAACGTTATTTCGGAAAAAAAATCGAGTTTGTGATAGGTTAGGTAACCATGGTGACTTTCCGCTTCCATTTTTATATGGCGAACGACTATGGAATGGACTTCCCTGCCTACAGACTTATTCTCTGAACGCTATAACTTGCGACTTTTTCGACGAGAGTAATAGGAATTATTCAGGTGCGCATGCTCCATCGTGGATATGATCGTCACTTTCCTTAGGTAAGATGGAGGTCAAACACGCACTTATATTAAAAAAAGATAACTACTAAATGTAATGTAAGTTTATTGGACTAAAAAAATATTTCCGAAAAAATTTATAAGACCTGAGAAACAAAACCGTTGAAGATCACAATGAAAGTGTGCTAGAGTGTAGATAACTATTTTCTATCATTAACGACAGTTCGTGGAACGCACTCTGTCACTTTGTTTGTATGCTTACTTCTTTTTTTCATCCTAGATGCTTGCATTGCTTCCATCCTTTATGTTACATCTTTGACTACGGAAACCAAAGGACATGTTATATTGAGATATATAAATCAGACGTTATATGTATATGATGCATTTAGACGTTGAAACCATAAACATTTTATTGTCTTTGTTTAACTACTGCGTGCCGTCGTAAGCCAAAAGAGATAGCACTACATTGATTTATGTCAAACACGGGAATCGAAAATACGTAACATCATCTTAAATGCCAACTGTCCTCATTTTGCCATTTTTGTTACCAATTGGCGAAATCGCCATTTTTTTGTATAATTTTTATTATAATACTAAACTACCGTACATAGTTATTTTTACTTGACATTGGCAAAATCATTGATTATTTCGATGGGGCCATAACATTCAAAAGAAGAAGAAGAAGTACCCTTTGGTAACCGTTTCGGGTTGTCAAAGGTAAGTACATCAAATATCAAAACCAATGTTTGACGAATTATTTTAGTGAATTATTCGCATGAATTGTAATGAAATGGACAAAAATATTGACAGTGAGAACAATTAAGTATTGATAAAAATGCGTCGCTGCAGCATTAAGGGGTGTGGTAGTATAAAAAGTGGAAATCAACCGAACGTTACATTACACCGGCTACACTACATGTGTTATTTTTCTGCCTATAAATCATACAATAGCTCAAATATCTCATGTAATTAGATTCATTTAAGTAGTGCATTCATAAGTCTTGGCGAATTTTGCTTTGGTTATTTTGGATTGCCTGTTTGTTAGTATATTTTGATGATTGTTGATAACGATTATTTTTAGATAGTGTTGTTCTTGTAAGCAGACATATTATCGATATTCTATTATTAAAACAATTCACTACGAGGTTTTTATTATTTGATTATTATTATTTTTAAAGTTTACCTAGAAATGGAAAAAGAAAGAAAGAATTGTCGGAAATTTAGGACTGCTGAACAGAATTGAATTAATTGCAAAACCGAATTGGATCAAATACCATCTTCGTTTGTTCGCTCCATTTTGAAGAGTCATGTTTTAATAGAACTTTGAATGTAACTAGATTACCTACATGATAATGTAATTCCATCGTTACATTTATTGGTGAATAACTTTATATTTTATTTTGATTAAAATGGCTCACTACTTGCCTAGTAATAATAGTCTAGTATTAATCATACTTTGATTACAGTAAACTATACAAATTTGTGTGAACAAGGTAGTGGTACTACACTAAATCCGCCATTAGTGGTGGACATCTTTGGTTTATGTAGGTACGTATATTCCGTACATAGGGCAGCTTCTTTCCTTTATTTTTTTCCATCCTCTTAGTGTCACATTGAGCTTTATTTTTAATATTAGTTTTATGGCATCAGAATAAATCCATCAAGCCAAATCTTCAACAATCTTTTTAAATACTGTAAAATTTATGAGTGATATTGAATCTTTCCTATCTGTAAATCGAAGATTTACTTCACTTCTCCATTCTACGCTAACCCAATACGGTGAGCAGTTCATGTGTTTTCTAAGATTTATTTTTACAATTGCGGAATGAAACTATAACTTAAGTTACGTTAAACAATTTTATCTCTGAGATCATAAAGTTGAGAGCAGATTTTTCCTGAAAGCTAACTTCATTTCGTTATAAGAATTACACTAAAAAGTCCAAACGAAAAAGGGAAATTTGTTCTTACAAAGCGTTTGTTAGCTATTTTATGCGAATTCCACGCAATTGAACAGAATGGTTTTTAGACTGTACTAAAGAAACTTCCTAACTTTGGCGAATAATTTGAATCACACAACCTTTTTATCTGTCCTTCATGTGTATGTAAAAAGAAGCATAGTTAAAATATAAATAAAAAAGCAAAAGTTCATTTGGTAGAAAAAGTTACAAGCAACAAACCATTATAGTAGCATATCATGATAAATCACTACCAAGCTCTCAAGTGGCCTTCCCTTTTTTGAAGTCTACATTCCCATGGCTTTAGATGCTAACATCCGTTTTATACACAAAACCCTTGTCATGAGCTTTTGTGCATATGGGATTATAGAAAGTCTTATATTTTTTACATAATATATATATATTTAATAAAGAGATGAACTCGAAGTTTAAGAGGCAATATTTAGAACAATCTATCGATTAGCTTGTAATATTTCGTATACTATAAAGCTTTAATTCAAGATCCAGATGTAACGAATACATGTAGTAATATCTAGGAAATGCTGACAGGAAAAAGCTATCCCTCCATTACCTGGCCCGATGCCCACGTCGAAGGTTTTGGCTATAAGCCAAAAGTAATATTTAGTTATTTCTTTGCAAAATGAACCTTGACCTTTTAATGGAAGTGTGGATAAAAATGTAACTGATTTTAAATTTAACAGAACCAACCTTCTGTTTAGTGCATTCAGGGCAATTTATTATTTGAGTGTTGTGGAGTTAAAGATTCAAGGCAATGTTGTAAACAAGTAACACAGAATGCATTTTCTGTACGAGTATAGACAGATTGCATAAGAAATGTTTCTAATAAAATAAGTGTAAAACTGAATGAGAGCAATAATAAATTATTACAAAATCTGGCTTACCTCAGATCTGAAAATAGAGAGATTTGAATAGAGATTTCAGATTTTAAACCATTTCTCATTGATGTTAGTATAAAATGGCCCGATAAGTTGCCAAAAGGTTGGCATTAGCGTAATGCTCCGTAGGAATGTCCTCATAATGACCGTATATATCTTTTTAATGAACTACTAGCCTGCTTTTACTATGCGAAAACGAGCTTCCGTCGCAGTTCTCCAAATATATGGTTTGTCTTATAAATACTAGAGATACTACTTTTTAAAATAAACTTTAAGCGAATTAAGCTATTAAAATGATCTGTTTTATTACTCTTCAAGATTTCGATTAGATTTCGCAAAATAATGTTCTGTGAATCTAACCAAGAATTCCAAGTAACTCCATTATAAAGGATTCACTTATATGGTATGCCTGGTTTAGCTTTTCATACGATTTATCTCATTAATATAATGGTCGAATGTCAGCCCTAAATCATGCAAGATAATCATAGTCAATCCTTTTTTGGTTAACATTTGGAGCAACAGTTGTAACAAAAAAAAATACTACAACCATAATCACATCTCAAATAGACGCGGTCATTGCTTGCCCTTACGGAGTTATAATAACAGTGTTTCTACAGAGAACGGATAAAATGGTAATGAGTAGTATGGTGAACGCAGAAGGCTCACTAGTTTGAAATGCCTTGAGGCTCGGAGCGTTTCTTTCAACACGTTGCGAACTGTGTGTTTAATGCTTCTCTAACGCTTGATATCAAAGGCGTCTGAGTGAGCTTGAAAGGATTTAAGATTCGCAATCGTGTTGCTGTAAACGAGATACCATTTAGCCATGGGCGAACCGGCGAACACACAGCTTGCAACGTTGCTAGTGTTTTGTTTGCCGGATAAATAGGTAAACTGCTATAAGCTTTCGGATGGAACGAGAAAATTATAGGACATGGTTTCGTAAATCGCCTTTTGAATTTCTCCAACATTTCAGCGTTAACTGGAAGTGTGTAC